ACTCCTATGTTGAAGAGAATGGAGGAAAAATACTTACTAGCCGTCTTCAAAAAGAATGGATATCCCCACAATTTCATCAAGAAGTGTTTAAAATCGAGTCGCAACACCAACAAGAAACTATCATCAAAGAATACACGAAAATTCATCCTAAGACATATAAAAATATCTCTTAAATAACAGCTACAATATTAAGACCTTTTGAAATAGATATAGCACAAAAGCCAGCCAGCCAGCACAATCATTTCATTCGATATTGTGCAAACCGAAAGATCCAACAGAAAAAGGAGATAAAATTAATACCATTTACAAAATAAATTGTATGAACTGTAACAGACATTACATCGGCCAAAGTGGGCGTCCCCTTCGAATCAGAATCCAGGAACACAAATTAGCTGTGAAAAGACATGATATATATTCTTTCATATCAATGCATGTAGATATTTGTGGACATCAATTTGATGATTGGGATAATGTCAAAATTTCAAACAGAGGAAAAACCAAAAATGCAATCAGGGAATTCCTAGAAGCCTGGTTTTTTTTTATTCCTTCACGTTCCCCAGTGGAACATAGGGCTTCAAGCTAGAGGCATGAAGTCTCTGTAGCAGTGTTTATTTTTACAGGCCCAACCTTTCCTCTTTACCAGTCTTATTACTGGCTTAGCGAGGTAAAGGAGTGCGCCGGCCGGGGATCGAACCCCGGACCATATGCATGGTTGGCGAGCGTCTTAACCGCTATGCCACCGACGCACTGAAGCCTGGTACTCAAGCGAATATGCGATTAACAAACATGTTAATACAGACTGAATCTATCAACTAATAAAAAGTAAATCATGTGACGAGAAAGTTTAAAATCCAAGTCAATAAAAAATGATCAGTATAGATGTAAATCGACTACCAGTCATGAAGATGGTTACCAGGAGACGCAATTCTATCATTCATGGAGAATTGAAATCAGTTCACTTTATGCTAAAAAATTGCGCTGAAGATGTTGTCCAGAAGGACGAAGAAAGCTCCACAATTAAACCAACCAGCTCAGAGAACATGCCTTTTTCGCGACGACAAATAGTAATTGATTGGAAATAAGCTTAACATGACTACGGAATGACGTGAGTTGTTAAATTATTATTAGTTAAAAGGATTGACCATTTATAGGATCATTAGACCAATACTTGGTATTCAACCTGATATAGACAGTAAAATTGTAAGGTGCATCAACCAGAGCAAAGCGACCTGGAGGGCAGTTTATCTGAACTTCAAAAGCATCTGCCTTTTGAGTTACAAAAAGGGATTGGTAACAACACTGTTTGGTCGTGTAAGAAAGCTTTGCTCAGAAGAAAAGGTGTAGGAGCAACTATCCATTGTGGAAAAATGTGATAATAGTGCGTGATAATAGTTACCCATATAATTCTATCTGAAAATAACATATACAGCTGCCAAGCTTGTATTTGTGCATCAAACGATCAGCTGCGTCTACCAATTTACATGCACGTACCAAAGCACATACACTGGAAGAATAGACAGAAAGGTTACCGTCCTCATTTGTGGATACACACCAAAGAACCCGAAAATAAAGGACTCACAGGTATTAAAAACTACGATTGTGTGCCATCTATTGGACTTGGGGTCATATTGTGGACAATCTGAAGGCATTCAAAGTCATCAACAAGCAAATGAAATCTAGCTTGCTATGTTTTGATGACGCGATCGCCATCAAAAGATTAAAGCTAAATCTATACCCGCAGAAGGAGACAGTTGGGAATCTCGCAATACCTTGATAATTAAACTTACATAACGAAGTATAGAATTTCATAACTTACGTCATGTACACTCTTATATCTTCTGTGCTGTATAAAAACAATTGTTCAAGCATTAATTTGTAGGGATTTGATTGATTGGTTACAAGATTTCATCATGAACTGACATCGGTTAGAGAACTATTGGAAAACCTACGATTACTGGAGAGGTAGGTAGTTATCTACGGTTACCTGGGTTCCAGTGGGAAGTCGTGACAAGTAGAATACAGCAGGTCAGGTGTGAGGACAAATACCCACCAGCGACGACATTCCCTGGTGTTATGGATTCGAAGGAGTTGGAATTCATGGGCCATCGGATCGGGCTGGTCCCAGCGGCTTAATGGTCTACGAACTACCCTTGAAATCAGGTCCTGCGTTTGAACCCTGGCGGTGAGTGTGTATTGATGAAGAGTCCCGAACTAGAACGAAACGGCTTTCTAGTACTCCCAGTAGGTTTTCCAGTGGTCCTCTAACGGATGTCAGTTCATGATAAAATCCTGTAAAAAATTTGTTTTAACTGAACGTTAGTCACCCTAGTCCCTTTCGCTATTTTATAAAAGCTTATTTCCTGTAGTTACGTAACCTATTATATTGTTATAGTCTTCCTAGTTAAACTGTTTCTACTCAAGAATTTTGAACTCTATTCTTAAAAGTATTGATCTAGTTAACGTATAAATAGTAAATTCTTTTAACTCCTAATAATTTAACAACTTACATCATTCCGGACTTGTGTTACTCTTCGTTCCTATGAATTACTTGCTTCTTGCCATTGTGAAAAAGGCATGTTCAAGTCGTTATTGCAATGTATATTTTTGTGTGTTGTTCAGGCAGTAAGTAGCCAGTTGAGAAGAATTTTCAAAATAATGAAAGATGAGTTGATATCATCCTGGTGTAATTTGTCGTTCTTCCTTTCTTATTCTTCACCCCTTTCATTCATTCACCACATTACTTTAAACTCTGATAATTTACCCACTTTACTTCCGATTTCATAAGATTTTAACTTAATTTAATTATTGAAATATTTACATTGTCATACTACCTTCGTTATTCTATTCTCGACATGCGTCAAGTACATTTACAGGAAAGGTAAAATACTGTGCACCTCAGTATTATTATTATCATTGTTTCCTTCAGTTCCTAGGGGAACATAGGACTTCAGCCGCACGTCTTCATTGCATTCGTTTCTCTGTCAACGTTTTCAACTGGCTATACATCTACCCACATGCTTTCATCTCCTCTTCACATAAACTACTCCTTGTCACTCTCGCACTGACGGTAAACCCGCCACTTCCCCATTCGGGTTCCACTCGAGCAATGGCCTGGCGTGTGATGTCACTGGATGGTTTGTTTCCTCAGAGTATAGCCAATCCACCTCCATTTCTTCCTGCATATCTATTGCACAATCGGTTCGTTCGTTCCCAGAGATCCCTGTTGCTGATCTTTTCTGGCCGGCCATCTGATCTTGAGTAGTATTGAGCGAAGACAGCTGTTGGTAAAGTTCTGCAGTTTGTTCACAGTGCCCTTCGCGACGCGGCGCCAACCTCTGATCCGTATAATAAGTAGCACTGAGTTCACATTGGAGTTGGAATTACGGATCTTATTTTCCATGCTGAGTGCTATTGATCTCCACACAGACTTGAGGGAAATGAAAGTTTGTTTTGCTTTCCCGATCCTTGCTGTTTTGATATCCTCGTCAGTTCCGCCAGTAGTTGGTAGGTGAAGGAGGTTGCTTCTTTCAGATTTCTCCCATTACGCTGATTGTTGTCTGTTGTTGCTGCTGTTGATGTTGGCCAGGAATCTTCATCACCTCTGTCTTCTTTATGTTCACTTGAAGTCCTTTCTATCTTTGCTTCTTCTTCTGCCAACTTGCTCCTTTTCACTTGCATATCTTCCAGTTTGTGGGAAATCAGACATATTTCATTGGCGAAGTCCAGATCCTCCAAGTTTTTTGTGTGAGTCCATTTTATGCCTGCTTCCTCGTTGCTCGCCGGTGGTTGTCGCATTATCCAGTCTACCGCAACCAGGAAAATCATTAGAGATAGTAGTGGGCAGCCTTGTCTTACTCCCGTGTGCATCTCAGTATTATGTCAATTATCTTTAAATTCTTTTAGTATTAAGCACTCAAAGACAAATTCACACTTACCACACAATAAACAGTATATACAGTCAAATCGTACACATCTGAATAGAAAGCATAGAGGTTGAAATACTCCGACATGATGAGTTTCTTCAAAGCTTCCAAATAGGCTTTATTGGTAGTTTTTTGAGTATGACCACGGATTGATATCAGTTAGAGAACTACTGAAAACCAGCTGGGAGTACTGAACAGCCGTTTCATCCTAGTTCGGGAATAATCGGCTGTAAGCAACAACTACCAGGGCTCGAACACAGGACCTACCGGTTACAAGGCAAGCTAGCTCGTAGACCATTCAGTCACCACTGGGACCCGATTTAATGGCCAGCAGATAAATTCCAACTTCTACCAATCCGTGATTTAGCGCGCAACCACCAACCTTTGTCAACAGCAGGACCTCCATGCTCACACTTGACTGGATGGACCCCACTGGTCACGACTTCTCACTAGAACTCCAGGAAACTCCGTCATGTAGCAAGTCCATTAGCGAGCATCAGATTAATTTTCAAGAGTTGATTTTTAAGGATTAGGTTTATTTTTTGAGTTATAGAACCACTGGAAACCAGGGAGTCAACCAATTCGTGGTCAAACTCGAAAAACAAACTTAATCCTTAGAAATCAGCCCTTGAAAATTTACTGATAGCTGTCAAACAGTTAAACATCCAGATTAGGCAAGGATTAATAATAACAATAATAAGGGTAATTATTACTTCATTTCTTTGCGTTCCCCGTGGAACATAGAGCTTCAAGCTGGAGCTTTGAAGCTCCAATAGCAGTGGTACTTTTACGAGGTGGAGTGGTCAGCCTCATGTATGACCTTCCCTCCTCACTGGGCTTACCACCTAAGCGAGGTAAAAGTATGCGTCGGCCGGGGATCGAACCCCGGACCAGTGTTCTACCACTAAGCCAACGACACAAAAGCAAGGATTACTATAGATTTATTTCTAATGTAACGTAATGCAATTTCAAAAATTTATCTTCAGAAGTTGTCATAACTACAATAAATGCATGACAAATAATAATGATAATAATAGTAATAACTGCGGAAGAATGTAAAGAATAACACAAACTGACCTTTCCATTTGGATGTAGATAAGTTAACACAGGAAATCTGCCACGACTACGAAAACGTGAACTTCCATAGAGAATATTCTTTGATATCATACTTGGGACACATAACAGAGAAGGATAGGTGTCGCATATCTGGAAAATATATACATACATATATAAATCCTTCAGCTTCAGAAAAACTATTCATGTAACAATGATAAATATCATTTAATATCCTAAGGTGTTGGAGTCGTGAACTGGGATGTCAGTTATGCACACCTTGTTAAGGTTAACGATACTTTCTGTATCAAGCTGATAACTACCTAGATAAAAACCAAATGTTTCAAAAAAATAAACCACAACGCTAACCGTAATATACACCAACGAAGGGGTAGTTTTGTAACGACAGAAGACAATAGCCAGGCAACAGATTGTTTATTGAGAAAATCAACACACATTTATATATTTTTATGTACATTATTATTCGTTATTGTTAGCAGAGAAGCAACGTCTTCTGATTGGTTGTTTTCCTACTGAAGGTTATTCTGTCATCTCTTTGTGGCTGTTTCTTTGAAGGTCAGACCATATATCTGCTAATCGTAACCGCCCACGCTAAGTCTGCTCTGATTGGTTGTTGAGTTAGTCTTTGTTCTAGTTCTCTTTTCATGACCAAGATTTGGGAGGTAAACGTTAACGTAAATTGCTGTCTACCAATTTTGGTTAGCAGACAGCTATCACCACAGTTTTACCCGCAACTCGTTTTAGCCCAACTTCATTAAACTTTTAGTGGACACGAGAAAACCATAATGAATTTGCTTTATCATCTTTTATAAACTGCACCTCATCATTGAGTGTCATTCACTATGCAACATTTTTGATTGGATACTAGGCAGTAACTAGTGTAATGTGTCTAGTCCTATCTTTGGTGCAGACTGAATTCTATCAGTCAAGCTTGCAATGTGGTCACTATGCTAGGTGGCTCGTCATCACAGTGCACTATGAATTGTTGGTATCAGATGGTTGGAGGCAATCGGCCACAGGAAGCCCTGTTTGGACCTAGGTTTCGTGCTAGTTGGCACTCATCAGCAAGGCGTATCTGCAACTGCCTTGAAGGAACTCACGTCCCTTCTGAGATTTGAACCCGCGTCACCCAATCTGCACCGAAGATGGGACTAGACACATTACACTAGTTACTGCCTAGTATCCATTCAAAAATATCTAATACAGTCCAACAGGAGGTCAATCGCGAGCCCGAATAGCTGTGGTAACGTCTCTGACTGCAGCACTGGGTGACGCGGGTTCAAATCTCAGAAGGGATATGAGTTCCTTCAAGGTTGCAGATACGCCTAGCTGATGAGTGCCAACTAGCACGAAACCTAGGTCCAAACAGGGTTTCCTGCTGATTGCCTCCAACCATGTAATACTATGCAACATTTCATAATCTGGTTAAACATGAAGACAGATATAACAGACAATCATGATAGACTGACAATTCGATTAGCTGTTGGACTTTCTAGGTGAACAGTAATAGAATTACTTTCTATTATGAAACTCTAGGTACATAAAACAACTAGGTCGGTTGACATATGAATGTTTAGTCATGAAAAAGCGGAGAACTCCAGTAGTCTTATCAATAAAGTAATACACTCATTAACAAATATAACGATTAACGACTATGGAGTGTGAACGCACCAATGACCTTGAACGCATACCACTCATTGGATTACAAAAGCTGCTGTGTATTACACACCAAAAGGCCGTTTATATCCCAGAAAAATTAACGTAATAATAATGAAACACATAAAAGAGGATATTTTACCCTGACGTGACTTAAAAATACTCCCCAATTACAATGAAGGGTGTCAGTTTTGAAGTTCCATAGCTATTAAAACGGTTCCACCTATATGAACAACGGAGCACTTCACCCATTAACTTACTTACAAAACATAGACAATAATAATAGAACACCTTAACCCTAATACTAATAATCCTAACACCAACGTGCTATCGCAATCCATTATCCAAACAGTAATTAAAAACCATATCAGGATGAAATTCGCATATTGTATCGTGCATAGCGTTCATACTGGCATTGCAATAACGGCAGATTCTGTAATCCAGTGAAGGACATGCGCTCAAGGTCATTGGTGCGTCCGCACTCTGTGGTCACCATTCTTCAAGGTGGCCCATTCATTTAATGCTGTGGCTAGTGACACAGACTAATATGCTTTACAGGATTGATAACGAGCTGTTAGGGAACCATTGAAAGCCAGGAAGTACTGGACAACTGTTCCGTTCTAGTGTGGGACTCTTCAGCAGCACATGCCCACCGGGCTTCGAACCCAGGACCTTCCTGTTACAAGGAAAGCTCGTAGACTATCCGATCCAGTGACCAGTGCATGAATTTCAACTTCTGCCGATTCATGATACATATTTGGCGCATCCGCCAGCCAGTGTCACCGACGAGCAACTGTCCTCTTGCCTGACTTGTTGGACCCTGCTGGTTACGTCTTCTTACTAGAACTTCGGATGACTTCCTGTATAGAGCTAGTGGCTGGTGGACATCAGGTTAATTATCAATTGTTGATTTGCAGGGATTTGATTGGCTACATGATCTGTCATGAGCTGGCATCAGTTAAAGAACCATTGGGACTCTTCATAAGTACTTGACTACTTACTTACTTTACTTCGGCTATCTCCTACGGGAGGATGAGCCGGCTTCATGAACATCTCGAATCATCACTGCCCAGGCGCGGCGATCTGATGCAAGAGAGTTCATGAGGTTTCATGGGAATTTGGTACGAGTGATGTCCCCAGAATCGCTCGGCCTTTTGTTTGAGAGTGCAGCTCTAGCCTTTACACAACCAAGTGTGACCTACAAGGCAGTAGGAGTGGAGTAGGGAGTCCACTATCCATTGGCAGCCGGTGACCGGAGTTCGGTTCATACGCCTTTTTGAATGGGGCCAGACATCCAGGACATCCAACAAACCCTTTGTCCATACGTCTGTCGGTGAGCTCCAGTGAGCTTCATACGCCAGTCGTTGGAGGTTTGGAATCAGGGTTTAGCCACCTCCCCTAGACTGTCATCCAATGGACAGTCAACCCGGTGAAGAGCGCCGGACATCCGCTTTCGCCCTCTCACTTTGGTGAAAAACACCTCCGCCACGTGAAGGCAGTGAGTAGGACTTCCTCAGGAGAGGCTATGTGAGACAGTCGGTCATATGGGAGCATTTCAAGAGGTGTGCGGAGGGGTGGCCAACCCGCATCGCAAGGCACCCACCCCCGACCATCCTGAGGTACTTGACTAACCCTGTAACCAATCAAACCCCTGCATACCAACACTTGACAACATATTTCTCTCTCTATCTTTCTTTTTTCGTTTTATTGATTTCTTATAACTAACCTCAAAATTGTTATTCACATTCGTTAGCGTCCAGAAAGAATTAGGCAGTCCAAATCGATTATACTGTGATTCCAATGAAAACATTGACCAGCCTTCTTCACGAGGCCAATAACAATCAGGTGGAACGAAACGATAACACGGCAGCTCAGATACATTTGCTGAAGTTATATTCAAGAAGAAAAAGTAAGACAAGTCAAGACAGAACTCATATACTTTACGATAATAAGAGAAAATTTTAAATTTACATGAGTTAAGCTCGATAATTAATTACAGTACATTATGATTCATGTTAAACGACAAGTAAACCTGGCACAGTGTAACCCTGATTTCGAAAACACAACACCAATATCAATTCAACATACTTTAGATTACAGTTTAGCTCGTAATTCAATGCACAAAAGTAACTTGCAGACTAGAATGTATGTTCAAAACACCTTAACAGATGAGCAACATATTTAAACTCGAAACATTAGCCATACACTTATCGATATTTTCCACGGATTGCATATTTTAACATTCAGATCACGTTAGCAGATCTTTTTCTGCAACTATATCAGTTCAATCTTATGTTTTCTTAAACTGCCTAAACCAATTCTTCGGTTAACCAATATTTCAGCCGACTTCCGGCCACCATCCTCATCAAATACAGTTTGAAGATTGAAACTTATTTGTTTTATCATTATTATTATTATTTCCTTTAAATCCTAGAGGAACATAGGGCTTCAGCCGCGCATCTCCATTGCGTTCGGTTCTGTGCTAGAGTCTTCACCTGGCTCCAAGTCTGCCCACATGCTTTCATCTCCTCTTCACATGACCTTCTCCAAGTCACCTTTGGACGACCAACTCGCCCCTTCCCCTTCGGGTTCTACTCGAGCAATGGCCTGGCGCGTGATGTCACTTGATGATGTCACCCTCAGAGTATGACCAGTCCACCCCCATTTCTTCCTGCATATTTGTTGCACAATTGGTTCCTACTGGGTTGGTTCGCTTCCAGAGATTCCTGTTGCTGGTCTTTTCTGGCTAACCATCTGATTTGAATATTGAGCGAAGACAACTGTTAATGAAGGTCTGTAGTTTGTTTGAGATGCTCTTCATGACGCGCCAAGTCTCTGATTCGTATAGTAACACTGACTGCACATTGGAGTTGATAATCCGGATCTTATTTTTCCTGCTGAGAGTTGTTGACCTCCACACAGACTTGAGAGTAGTGAAAGCTTGTCTTGCTTTTCCGATCCTCGCTGTTTTGATATCTTCGTCAGTTCCGTCTGCCTGTAGTTGAAACGATGCTTCCCAGGTAGGTAAAGGAGGTTGTTTCTTTCAGGTTCCTCCCATTTATGCTGATCGTTGCCTGTTGTTGTTGTTGCTGTTGGTGTTGGCCAGGAATCTTCATCACCACATATGTTTTCTCTATGTTCACCTGAAGTCCTAGCTTTGATGCTTCTTCTGCCAACTTGTTGCTTTTCGCTTGCATATCTTCCAGTTTGTGGTTAATCAGACATATATCATCGGCGAAGTCCAGATCCTCCAAATTTTTTGTGTGAGTCTATTTTATGCCTGTTTCCTCATTGCCCGCTGTTTGTCACATTATCCAATCTACTGCAATCAGGAAAATCATTGGCGATAGTAGGCAGCCTTGTCTTACTCCTGTCCTCACTGCGAAGGATTCTGTAAGTTTCCCGTTGTGGATTACTTAGCATGCAGCATTGTCGTACAGCTGTTGGATGAGATGTATAATTGTCGGTGGCACACCGTAGTAGCGAAGTAGTTGCCAAAGCACCTCTCGATCGACGCTGTCAAAGGCCTTTTCAAAGTCGATGAAGTTGAGATGGAGAGGTGACTGCCATTCCAGGCTTTGTTCAATGATAATCCGTAATGTGGCGATCTGATCAATGCATGACTTGTTTCTCCTGAATCCAGCCTGTTCCGGTCGAAGCTTTTCATCCAGGGCATGTTTGATTCTCTCCAGGATGATGCACCTTAGTATTTTGCTAGGGATGGACAGGAGCATAATTCCGCGCCAGTTCTTGCATTGACTTAAGTCTCCTTTTTTGGTAGTTTGAATAAGTATCCTTTCTTCCAATCCTCGGGTACTTTGCCTTCTTTCCACACCTTCTCCAGTAGTGGCGTCATCAAGTTCGCTGTTGTCTCTGGGTCCATTTTCAATGCTTCTGCTGGGATTCCTGCTGCTTTTCCAGCTTTTAGCATCTTCATCGCCTTAAGGACTTCTGATTTCGTCGGGGGGTTGGTGTTCACTGGTAGCTCTGTCTCCGTCGTTGGTATTGTTGGGCGCGTTGTAGGTGGTGGTCGATTTAGGAGTCTTTTGAAGTGTTCAGACCAGTGTTTCCTTTGCTCCACTTCTTTGGTGAGTGACTTTCCATTTTCATCTTTCACCGGCTTGATTTGTGTCAAACTTTTGCCCGATAGGTACCTAGTTGTTTGGTAGAGTGTTGCGAGGTCTCCTTTGCCTGCAGCTTGTTCTGCCTCACTTGCCATGGTTTCATAGTACTTTCTTTTGTCTTCCCTGGCACTCTTCTTTACTCTTTTGTTCAGTGTCTTGTAGTTTGCATTCAAATCCTGTTTTTGTTGCTCGTCGGTGCACTGGAGAATCTTTTGTTTCACCATCCTTCTCTCTTCTCTCAGTCTCCAAGTGTCCGTAGTGGGCCACTTTTTGTTCTGTCTCTTCTTTCTGCCTAGAACTTCCATGCAGGTTTGACTCCACACTGTTTTCAAGTTGTTGTTGCTTCTTTCAGGTTCCTCCCATTCATGCTGATTGTTGTCTGTTGTTTTTGTTGTTGTTGATTTAGATAATTCGTAAAAAGTAACAATGAGAGTAAATTGCCCTCAGTGTAGGTTGTCATGAACTAGCATCGGTTAGAGTCACTGGGAATCAGGCACCACAGGACAGCTGTGCCGTTATAGCTTACGACTCTTGCACAGAGCTCACCCACTACTCCAGTTAGAGGTCACAGGTCATTAAATTCCAACCCGACTAGCGGGATGGTCGACCAGCTTGGCTCCGTAACCCGAAGGTTTGAACCCTGATAAATTCATAGGTGCGCGCTGACGAAGAGTCCGGAACTAGGACGAAACAGCTGTCGTGTCCTCCTGTCTTTCCGTAGATCTCTAAATGACGCCGGTTCGTGATCCCTAAAACCCACAATCTAAATGAACCATTTCCGATGTATTTACAAAAAGTATGATCAAAAAGTTGGTGTTTCGCTTACCAACACGTATTAATCTGGTCAAAGTAAGATAAACATCATGACAATCACGTTCTTTCAGTAGAATTAGACGAAGTACTCGAAAATCTTTACCACGTATAACTAAAGGTGCACCACCAGTAGTTAGTGGAAGACGTTCAACTGAAGAAATCAACTGATTCTGCAACTAATAGTTGACAAAAGGAAAAATAAACAGGATATTATTATTATTGATTTTAAATAATATGATTATTTTGTCATAAAAAAGAGAAATACCAAACAAAATCGACTCTACTAAAGTACCATCAGCCCCAACGGGTTGATCTGACGAAATCTCAGCACGAATACAGAGGGCTAGTTTCGCATATGCCAGTTTACGCCGTCTCTGGCGTAGACGTGATATCCGACTGTCGATCAAAGGGCGTGTGCACTGCTCAACAGTCCGCTCCGTCCTCCTTTATGGCTTTGAGACCTGGCCATTGAGAGTGGAAGACATGAAAAGATTAGCTGTCTTTGACCATAGGTGTCTACGTTCTATCTCCCGTGTGAAGTGGTATAATAAGGTGAGCAATACTGAGGTTAGGCGTCGAGTGCTAGATAAGGAGGGGAAATCAATCGACGAGACTGTGAAATTACATCGACTGAGATGGTTAGGACATGTGTTACGTATGCCTAGTCATCGCCTTCCTCGACAGGCAATGTTAGCTGATATAGGGTCAGGCTTGAAAAGAGCTAGCGGCGGTCAAACCAAAACATGGCACCAGTCAATGAAATCCACAACAGTTAGTCTAAGCCACGTAGGAAGGTGTAGACTTCCTGACTGGTTGGAGTCCTCGGGACGGTAAAAACCAATGGTTGGAAACAATTGGTGACATGGCTCAAAATCGTTCTCAATGACTGGCGCAGATGCATCCACTCCTTGTGACTTATAATTTCCAATGAAACTATATTGTTCTTCGTTATCACCATTCCTTTGTCTCACACCTCTGTTTACTGTCTATATTATGCATTTCTCCTACTTTCTTCTCTTGCTTTGTGTGCTACATGGTGTGGTGACTTGAACTGCCGCACATATGTGCAAAGTTCTATGTCGAAAACAGACAGACAGACAGACAGAAAATACTCAAATATCTATGAGTCTAATCGACAACGGTACAATGATAATATTACTGGTCAGTACGGCTAAAAGAGCTCCCCTATCCTATTATCAATCGTGAAGGGTGAGTATGTCATATACCAATTAAAAATTATGTATATATTGGTATATTACACTTTCAGCCATACTTATAACCTAAGAGCTATGGTAATATTTGATTAACTATACCTCAAAATGTTAAGAGTTCTCACATTGTGACTCAATGGTCGAAAGTCTAGTACTGGTCTCAGTTAACCATGTTTCTACAGTTTGTATTAGTAGAATAAGGCTGTCAATAACAAAAATCTTTACTATAATTTACAATTTACCGATATGGTTATTGATTTTAAACAAGAAACGAGGGAAGAGGAATCAACTCCGGTACTTTCAAAGCTTTTATGTTTAAGTTTTAACCTTGAGGCCCACCACTGATAAGATGGTGCACACACTTTGGATACAAAAGAAAGCTGAACATATATAACCTCCATGTACGAAAAGTTAGTTGGAGATGGAATAATGAAGATGAAAGGTCATAGAAATTATCTTATTCATAACGAACAGAGTAACGAATATACAACAGTCTGTGAATTCAATGATTTTGTTGCCAACTGCAATATTTGCAACCATATGTGCTAGAAAACAAACCGACTTTTGTAGGGTATACTTATCTTGATATACATATCTCTCATATATATCTATCAACAGTATATTAGCGGATAAGAAAAAACAGATATTGAAACAGTGCAGAAAGAATAATAATTACCCAAATTTCTTGTCTTCTGGATAAACCAAGGAAAAATATATGGGTTAAAGTTAAGTGTAAAGTTCCACGAATATGTGCATTTCCATCGAATTGGTCTATGTAGAAAACGTCATTTACCTACAAAATAATATATTGGAAAGTTATAATACTGGTATGAAAAATAAGTTTCTTCCGTTACTATTAATACATGGAACTTACCGCATAACATCTTATATTCTAACATTATCTTTAGACTTGACAGCAGCAGAGACATAGAAAATGGTGCTTTATTAATATCAACATATGAACCTTCAGCAATTACTTCCATCTACAGCCACAGATGCTAGATATGGTTTAATTATACTCTTTGACTAACTGACACACGGTACTTGAAGTGAATTTTGAAACCGTGAACCAGTGGTTGAACGTGAAGAGCTTAAAGCAATGAACCTAAGCTCCAACTGAGTATATGTCCACGTATTAAAACCATGGAAAATGACTGTTGCTTCAGTGAACCACAACTTCTCATTCCATCGACTGATAAATGCTACCCAGATGTGGTCGGGCTTGCATACCGTGGCGACCCAACAAGCTACACTGGCTGGGACTTATGTTCCTGTAAGTTTTACCATGCCAGGACGGTTGTTTGGATAATGGTTAGACTAAAAGCAGAATCCAAACGTATCGAATAGCGTACGAACCTGCATCGGTCACCTGCAACCATGGGAAAATAGCTCCTGATGCTGCTGCGATACCTTGTGGGTGAAACTTCAAGTCATAGGCTCGGGGGTGGTCTCTTAAGAAAACCACTAGCTTCGGTCTGGGAGGCTGGGCAGTATCCCAGTGCTCGAAATAACAATAAAACAAATCATGAGTAAATTTAGTCACACTCTCTTTCTCACTCTCACGAACAATAATGAAATTCCTAGCAACACTTATATGCGCTGATAGAGGTGGTCTCAGAAGTTTCACCATCATGAGAAAAAGCTCATTGATCTAGAGTACACAAACAATACAGCCATTTTTAAGTGGAAGATATTTGACATAATGCTGAACACATTGGATAGAAATTTGAGCACACTTGGTAAGCGCTATACTCCTGTCAAACGTAAAACGATGCCACAAGACCTGCTTGTTCCGACTTATGGTTTAAAGATGAGAAGTAAAACGACCTAATGTTTTCGCTACTTCACTTATTATGAAAATGTCATCAGTCTAATGTTTGGATGAGGATGCCAAACGTAAGATCGAAAAAGCAAGACAGACCCTCATTAATCTGAAACCTGTGTGGAAATCTGTTGCACTCAACATAAAGAACAAGATTCAGATTTTCAACACTAATGTCAAGTCATTTCTTCCATATGGTTCACAGACTTGGCGCGCGTCAGCGAAAGCATTTTCAACAGGCTACTGAGGAAATGCATCTCCGTTCAATACTGAAGTTCTTTTATTCTACCTTTACGTTCCCAGTGGAACGTAGAGCTTCGAGCTAGAGCTTTGAAGTTTCGGTGACAGTGGTGTTTATTTTCACAGGATTGGGTTGCCAACCCCACGCCAATCCTTCCTTCTTCACCGACCTCAACGATGGCTTAACGTTGGGACCGAACGCCGGACCACATGCATGGTTGGCGAGCATTCTACCGCTGTGCCACCTTTAATGCTGATAAACTACAAGTCACGTTTCCTACATGACCGATGGTGATTCCTCTTTGAAAGATGAAGTACTCAAACTAGCCACGTCCAATTGCACCTACCAATTCAACTGCGCTTGTGGCGCAAGTTATATTGGCCATTGCTCTAGGAACTTGATTTTTTCGTGCTTGCGAACATCTACCGGTGTGGCTAAATAAAGGTGTACTAAAAATCATCAACAGTTCGATATTAGACCACCTGGTCCAAACAGGCCACAAAGGTAATATTTAAGAGTCTTTCTCCATCATCTATCGGGTACCAAATAAATTGCCAAAAGAATCTAGGTACCACATACTCAGCAGCAGAGGCTATTTCAATTCACCCTAAACAACCGGTTCAGGAGACGTAAGTCCAGCCATTCACTACTGTTGCTTTGGCGGGCCTTCAGTAGAGACTAGAAATCCATAAATTTGTATTATTATCCTATTTTTTTTCTGATATTCAGTGTATCGGTATCTTGATGCTATCGAACCGTAATCCAGTGATATTATTATTATTGATTCTATGTTATTTGAACAACATGAATGTTGTTAATAACACTAACTGCTTCACTATTATGTACATATAACTGTAGAAACTTATGATGAAGTCGTCGAAGAGAATATTCTTTCGTTCAGTAACGATTCTTTTGAAAAATTTTAATGGGTATTTCTAATCAATTGAAAATAAAACGGTCAATAAGATTGATAAAAACACTAAGCGTAAACATAAAGATGACAGCAAACACAGAGGAAGCGTAAAACATCCGTAGTACCACCATACAAAGAAAGAAGAAGAAAGATCCCGACCGAAAGCTGCTACCTTGACGTGGTGGTCGGGCTTGAACACCGCAATGACCCAACAAGCTATACTGGCTGGAACTTATGTTCCTGCAGGTCCTACCATGCCAGGAAGGTTGTTCGGATAGCGGTTAGACTAAAAGCAGTTACCCAACCCAATCCTATGACTTCAAACAAATCACAAAATATCATGCCGGATCGGTCGGGGCCCGGATTAACAACGACCGCGCTTTCTGCTGCCGTGTCACAGGGCAGAAGTGATAAATACGCTACTGAGACACACCAAATAAAAAAGCAACAAACAAAAACAGGCCGTGTGTGACCGGCCTCAAGCAGTTGTCCCCTGGGCTCTGCGGTCACGCAACCAACTTCCACGGTGTGGGCAGCCGGGAAGCAACAATCGCCCTCACAACCCGAAGAGCACACGAAACCTCTCTATTCCTCACTCACCTTTGTCTTCATCTTCATCTCTATTATCTTACCTTCCTTCTACTAATGCAACTCCTCTACTTAATGGCTCTTCACTTCCTCTTCACTCTGTGTGCACTGAAAACGACGGAAGCCAAAAAGCCACCATCGATAGTCTCCTAAAGCCACGTCACCAATTTCATATAGGGGCATTTAATGTTAGGACACTTTGCCAAATAGGACAACAGGCATCACTAGCCAAGACTCTGGCATCCCGAGCCATTGATGTATGTTGTGTTTCAGAAACACGCATACAAGACCCAAGTGTGGTTATTCACCTAACCCCACCTGGCCAACAGGATGAATATGCAAAATTCACCTTGAGGGTGTCAGGAGATGAGACGGCTAGCTCACGAGGATTAGCTGGTGTTGGGATAGCTCTGAGTACTAGGGCAGAAAAGACACTACTTGACTGGATCCCGGTAGATAGCCGAATGTGT